AACTGATGGTCGCTGCCCTCGGCGGGCCTTTCCATTTAACTGATGGCTGATGTCCTTGGCGGGCCTTCCATTTAATTGATGGCTGCTGTCCTCGGACCTTTCCATTTAACTGATGGCCGCTGTCCTCGGCGAACCTTCCATTTAACTGATGGCCGCTGTCCACAGCAGACTTTCCATTTAACTGATGGCCGCTGTCCTCAGCGAACCTTCCATTTAACTGATGGTTGTTGTCCTTAGTGAACCTTCTGTCAACTGGTGGCTGGCACCCTCAGGGAACCACTGATGGTTGGTTCTCAAAATCCAAGCCACTGTTAGATTCAGGTATATCCCAGAATTCCTCTTTCTGTGCCCCCGGGGCGGGTTGTCAGGTCACAAAGGACAGACGCCTAAAGCCTGGTCAGGATGCCCTCGGCTGGGGCTGGCATTGGCAGTAAACAGACCCCTTGCTCCCTTCTCCCCCCATAGTCAGGTGCCTCCAGCTTCGGTGAGAAGTTCTCCCGCGTGAAATTCTCACCGTCACTCACGCTGTTTGGCGGCAAGCCTATGGAGGGCTGGATCGCAGTGACGGTCAGCGGCCTGGTCACCGTGTCCCTGCTCAAGCCCAGCGGGCAGGTGCTGACGTCAACGGAGAGTCTGTGCCGGCTGCGCGGCCGTGTGGCCCTGGCCGACATCGCCTTCACCGGTGGCGGCAACATCGTGGTGGCCACAGCAGATGGCAGCAGCGCCTCTCCCGTGCAGTTCTACAAGGTGTGCGTGAGCGTGGTCAGTGAGAAGTGCCGCATCGACACCGAGATCCTGCCCTCGCTCTTCATGCGCTGCACCACGGACCTCAACCGCAAGGACAAGTTCCCCGCCATCACCCACCTCAAGTTCCTGGCCCGGGACATGTCGGAGCAGGTGAGCTCCTGTCGGGGGGGTGCCCGCCCCCTGGCTGCAGCAGCAGAATCCCCACGTTTCTCATCTCAAGTGTTGGGTCAGGAGTCTGATGTGGGCCTCACGAGGCTAAAACCCCGGTGTGGGCAGGTCTGGTCCCCCCGGGGCCCCTGGGAGACCTGGCTGCTGCCCTTCCCTGGCTCGTGGGCCCCCCCTGCATCCTCACTGCCGGCAGCACGGGCTCTGCTCATCTCTGGGACTCCCACCCTCTGCCTCCCCCTCCTGAGGACTCCGGGCCCCAAAGCCTACAGGTCCTGGAAGTCGGGATGGAGTCCTCTTTGGGGACATCTTTGTGGCCGTTGGTCAGTGGTCACCCAGGGCTCCAGTGGAACCACATGTCAGTAAGGCCCCCGACTTTGTGAAGCCCTGACGGTTTCCTCGGCTGCCCCCTGCTTTCCACTGGGGGGACGGCCACCGGCGCGACATCTGCCATTCCAGCCCCGCCTCCTGACCAGCTGCTGCCGTCCCCAGGTGCTCCTGTGTGCGTCTAGCCAGATGAGCAGCATCGTGGAGTGCTGGTCCCTGCGGAAGGAGGGGCTTCCTGTGAACAATGTTTTCCAGCAGATCTCACCTGTGGGTGAGTCCCCCTGCTCCTGGGGCACTGGGCTTCCAGCGCAGCGTGCGGGAGCTGCTCCGAACAGCTACACAGTGCCGGCCCGCTCCACCCTCTTCATGCCTGCCGTAAAGCCGCTTCATTCCCGTCCTGGAGAGCCCCCTGTCCTGAGGCTCAGAGACGCGAGGTCCCCCAGTCGTCCCACAGGGGTAGCCTGACTGCCTCACTCTGACGCCTCCCGTGGGGAGCATGTGCCTGCTTGAGGAACAGCAGTGCAAAGGTCCTGGGGCAGAGACCAGGAGCTAGAGTGGCTGAGCAAGCAGGGGCACAAATACGCATTGCAGCAGGGCTGGGGGTACACACAGCCCCCTGGGCTGCAGAGGCCAGTTAATCCTAAAAACCACACAATCCTCCAAAAAGTCTGGTCTGTGGTGAGGAAACCGAGGCCTAGAGGGCGTGACTGAGTTGGCGCAGAACGTACCCACTGGCTCACCTCCCCCTCCCCTGCACCCATGTGGAACCCGCAGTGGCTCCAGATGGCACTGACCTCTCCCCCACCCCCGCAAGGCGCGCCCCCTCTCCCTGACGGGCCCTGGGACATGCTAGCGCAGGCTGAAGTGACTGAGAAGCCAGAAAAGCCTCTGGGTTTTCACCCCCCCGCCGGGGCCCACACACAGAGATGATTTCCAGTAGACGGCAGCCAGGCTCTGCTGACGAGCGCTAATGGAACCTGGAGTGGTTGGCTGTGCCCCGGGGCGGGTGGGGGGTACTCGGGACCCGCGAGTGAAGCTGTGTCAAGAGGCCCCCAGGACTCCTGCCCCCCACGGGGCAGTTACATAAGCTGCGCGCTGTGGGGCAGAGTGATTAACGTGAAGACGGTCACAGCTGCCCTTTCCCCAGACCCCGCGTCCTCAGCTTGGCGGCGGCGGGCAGGGCCACAGGTGTGCATGGCCCCCTGCCCCCGAGCAGAGGGTGACTAGCCCCAGGGCCAGCCTGGCCACAGCCACGACCTAGCGTTTGTGCCCCGTTCGGGTGCAGATGGCTTGGCGTGCTGCCTGGACGTCCGCCGTAGTGACTGTTACAGCTCTGTTGTCCCTGTTGGGTATTGAATTACCCTCTGGCCTTAGGCAGTCTCAGTGCTCTCTGGGCCTCAGTTTCCCCTGGGGGCAGAGCTTGCCGGGACTCCCTCCCTGGGCTCACAGCAGGTTTATAAGCTGTGACAAGCCATTCAGGGCAGAGCTCTAAGGCGGAGGCATGGCAGGGAGGAGCTGTGTGATAGTCAGCTGTCGCGTGTGACAGACCAGCCCTAGACTCAGTAGCTCAAAACCACAGCTCCACGCTGTGCTGGGAGGGGCCGCCTCTGCTGCTCGGCCTGGTTTGCGTGTCTGCTGTCCGCTGCCGGGCCATCCGGGCTGCTGCCTGTCGGCTGGGCACCTCGTCTCCCCCCATGGCACGCGTGTCCCTGCAGGCCTGCCCCAGCGCGTCCCAGCGCATGAGCACTGTGGGAGTCTCCCTGTGTCACGTTTGCCAGCACCCACTGGCCAACCCTGGATTCACGGAAACCAGTCCGCCAGTTGTTGGGGGCTTTTATCACCAAGAGGGTGGGTGCAGGGGGGCCGATCTGTGGCACCTTGACCGTCCAGCTCAAGTCTCATAAGGCGGGCAGAGCTGCCCCCCACCCCCGGGACCACTTACATCACAAGAAAACCCGATGCAGGCTGGCCGGGCTTCAAGGGTGTGTGTGGTGGTGGGGTCCGGGGTGCTCCCACCGGCCCCAGCCTCGTGGTCCCGTGAAGTCCCAGGGCAGGATCGTGCTGGTCCAGCTTTTGTCCCCGGCCCGTCGTGAGCCGTACGCCTGGCTGGGCCGTGGAGCGCTCTGAGTGGCCATGCTGGGGCAGGGTCCCCAGTGCGGGGCCAGAGGCGGGGGCCAGGGTGGCGTGCCTGGTGCCCCCTGCAGGGATCTGCCCTGCTGCATGTCTCATCTGTTCTGCGCCCCCCACCCCATTTGCAGTCGGCGACAAACAGCCCATGATTCTGAAATGGCGGATCCTGTCCGCCACCAACGACCTGGACCGTGTGTCTGCCGTGGCGCTCCCTAAGCTGCCCATCTCGCTCACCAACACTGACCTGAAGGTGGCCAGCGACACCCAGTTCTACCCCGGCCTCGGTATTGCCCCCTCTCCGCGGGCAGCCCCTTCCCACCCTAGCTGCCGGCGGGTGTCCCCAGCGCCCCGCATGGCTCAGTTGCCTGCACTCCCACCTGCAGGGCTGGCCCTGGCCTTTCACGACGGCAGCGTCCACATTGTGCACCGGCTGTCGCTGCAGAGCATGGCCGTCTTCTACAGCTCCGCGGCCCCGCGCTCCGCTGACGAGCCAGCCATCAAGCGTCCACGAACCACCGGCCCTGCCGTCCACTTCAAGGCCATGCAGCTCTCCTGGACCTCGCTGGCCCTGGTCGGCATCGACAACCACGGGAAAGTGAGCTTCGAAGCTCTGGGCCTCAGGGAAGAGTGAGGGGTGGGCCCCAGGACCCCCATTCCTGTCCCTGCTGCTGGACAGCCCGAGATTCCTCACCTGTGTGGTGAGGTTCCTCTGGCCCCCTGGGGTCCCAGAGAAAGGTCTGCTGTGGTCTGGGGCGCACAGTAGGTGCTCAGCAAGCAGGAGCCGTGAGGATGGTTGCTTTTCACCGTGGTGACGGACATAAGCCTCCTGTGGCACCAGGGCTTCCTAGGTGCTTAGTAAATGTTTTTGTTCCCCGGGGGGCCTTGGCCTGGCAGATGCACGCTCACCCTCAGCCCCAGGCGGGCCCGGCCCCCCACCTTCCATTGCAGACCCCTCACGAAATCAGCTTCTGTGAGTCGCTTTGCTTTGTGCCTCCTGCCTGAATCCGCTTACTGTTGGCCCTGTCCTCGGTGTGTCCATGTGGCAGGCAGGCCAGGAGGTCTCTCCTTGCAAGAGGGGTTCCGCTTCTGGAGACCCTGTGGCCCACGAGTGGATTTGCAAGGCCCAGGGAGGGAGCGCTAGGTGCCTGGGGTCACTAGGTATGGGGCTGGGGCCCAGGTACCCCCAGCACACTCCTCCCTGCCCGAGGGTGAAGCCGGCTCGGCCCTCACCTGGTGCTTCCCCCTCCGGCAGCTGAGCATGCTGCGCATCTCGCCGTCCATGGGCCACACGCTGGACGTGAGCTTGGCCCTGCGGCACCTGCTCTTCCTGCTGGAGTACTGCATGGTGACGGGCTACGACTGGTGGGACACGCTGCTGCATGTGCAGCCCGGCATGGTGCAGAGCCTGGTGGAGAAGCTGCACGAGGAGTACACGCGCCAGAACGCAGCCCTGCAGCAGGTAGGCTCACTGCCCCCACCTCGGCCTCCTCTGCGAGAAGTCAGCCCCCGCGGGGCTCTGGCAGAAGCTGCTTCCCGGCCCCCTGGGGGACTGGCCCTGCCCGTGGGCCGCCCGCTCCCACCACCCGTCCCCACCCAGGTCTTGTCCACCCGGATCCTGGCCATGAAGGCCTCGCTGTGCAAGCTGTCACCCTGCACGGTGGCCCGTGTGTGCGACTACCATGCCAAGCTCTTCCTTGTGGCCGTCAGCTCCACGCTCAAGTCCCTCCTGCGCCCCCACTTCCTCAACACACCCGACAAGAGTCCCGGCGACCGGCTGACCGAGGTCTGCACCAAGATCACTGACGCCGGTGGGTCCTGCCCCCGACACCCTTCACCAGCGGTCATCCTAAGCCCCACCTGAGGGGTGGGGTGTTGACCACGTGCCAGGCATGGGGTGGGGGCGGTCACCGGAAGGGCCCTCACGGGGGCTCGCCCCAGAGCTGGGGACAGATGGTAGCCACAGGGGAGTGTCAGCCGGACCAGGCTGGGGAGCAGAGTCCCGACGGGCCGCTCCCCCCCAGGCCCTCTTCTTCGAGGTCCGGGACCCGGCTCACCGTGGGTGCTGCGGGGTGCCGGCGGTGGGACCAGGGGCGCAGAGCCTGGCGCCCCCGTGTGCGTGCATGTGTGCGTGCATGCGCCGCAAGGCCCTGGTGTACCTGATGGCCTGTCCCCTCCCAGACATCGACAAGGTCATGATCAACCTCAAGACGGAGGAGTTCGTCCTGGACATGAACACACTCCAGGCGCTGCAGCAGCTCTTGCAGTGGGTGGGGGACTTCGTGCTCTACTTGCTGGCCAGCCTGCCCAACCAGGTGCGGTCCCTCCTGGGCGGTCCCAGCCCCCTCCGCACAGTCCCCGCCCCCTGGGTCCTGGCCTGCCCCCTCTGCAGCGCCGCCCCGCCCCCCTCTGCAGCAGCTCCCCCGCCCCCTGGGTCCTAGCCCGCCCCCCTTTGCAGC